CCCTCCCTGGGGAGCAGAAAGGGTATGGGATGGGTAGGGCATTAGTTGGGGGGGCAGGGGAGGAGGGGAGGGAGAGGGGCCTGGGATTGACATGTAAAATAATTTTCTTTCTAATAAAAAAAGGGGGGTAAAGAAACAACAACAACAGAAAAAAGAATCTCATCCTTGTTTTTTTTTTTTTTTGTTTGTTTGTTCGTTTTTTTTTTCTTTCAAAAAGGAAACCAGCATTTTAGGGAGGACTAATGTCACAAAACATTTACATATTAACAACGGCAGGCAGCCAAAGACAGATATTCAAAGTGCTGCTTCTGGGAGTGACTAGGACAACTCAGGCCAGCACCCTGCTTATCAACACTACTGCTGGCTCCATGCCCAAAGCACCTCTGGGCCTACACATGTAGCATGAGCCTCCCAGTGCCCACCCTACAGAGGCTCTGACACCTGCACTCCTGACCCAGCCAATCTCTCCAAACTCCTTCTGACTTCCACTCAGGGTCTGGTGCCACTGGTGGTGGTCAAGCGAACTTTGAAAGACAAACAGGGAGAAAGCTCTTAAGGGAAGAAGAAGACACGGTGCATTCTCCTAGGAAACACCAACCAAATGAGAAGCTTCCCTTCAACGCATGAGGTCAGAGGAAAGGCTGGCACGGAAGAGCAAACTGGCCAACCCTACACCGGGCAGGCCCAACACTGCTGAGCAGGAGGCCTCTGCCTTGCACTGAGCTCAGGCATACTCTGCCTAAGTGTAAGCCTCTGGAAATGAGAAAGGTCAAACGCTGCAGAAAATACATTCTCCAACCTCAGGAATTCTTAACCTTTGACCCTTTCCTTGCTTTTCAACACAAGCTAGAAATTAATGATTTTAACTTTATGTCATTGAACATTATTCTTTAAATTTTTCTGGTTTTGTTATTTGTAAACACAATAGATTTTTCTATATTGGATTTGCTAAAATGACCTACCAATGCTAATATTAATCTATAAATTCATTAGATTTTCTATGTGTGTCTGCCCACTCCCCTCCACCAGACCCCTATTTTTTGGTAGTACCAGGGACTTTACCTAGGGTCTTCTACATGCTGGCCGAGCCCTCCACACTGAGCTCCAGCTCCAGCCATGTTTTACTTTTTCTTCTAAGGCAGGATATTACTAAGATGCTTTGTACTTACTCTGTAGTCCAGGAAGACCTTGGATTTGCAGTTCCTCCTTCCTTAGCACCCACCCCTCTACCAAGCAGCTAGGATTACATCCTTTCTTAACCTTTGACCCTTTCCTTGCTTTTCAACACAAGCTAGAAATTCAAGTATGATACTGTGCTATCTTTTTGTTCCTCCTAGTTTTGGGGAAAAGCTTTAAATAGCCCACTGGTAAGTGTTTAATGCTTACTATATATGGTAAGATTATATGCTGGGAGTACCCTTTTCTAGAATAAAAACAGTCCATCCTCACCTCTGGTTTGTTAATGAACTTCGTATATATAGGTCCTGAATTGCAATTCATCAAATTCTTTACTGAATGGGTGGTGGTGGTGGTGGTGGTGGGGTCCCTGGGTTTTTGGTTTTTATGGTAATGCTGTAATTTATAGAGTTCTGAATTTAAACAAGCCTTGCAGCTGAGCACACCTATCTAGAGCTTTCCATATTATATTTTTGTTGATTACAGGGCTTCAAACAGCAAAAATTAAGGGTATTTCAATGCATTCAAGTTTTATTATGAGCTTTCCTTCTTAAATCATAGACAATGACTTATCACAAACGTCTCAAACCTGTTACGCTTTATCTATTATTGCATGCTTCATTGTGGCTTTCTCCTTAACTTGTGCAACTGAACTCTCTTAAGGACTAAACATTTTCCTGAAGGTTCTCCCAGGCTTTCTGTGTTCTTTTGCTCATACCATTGCTTTGATATGACTCTAGCGCTTCTGGCTTTAGTGGCTCTATCAGCAAGACTAGACAGCTCATAGCAATGGGGTAATTTTACCCTGTAGTCCCCCATCCTTTACTCTGACAGACTGGATTCTGAACAAAGGCAGCCTGTGAACCCTGAACAGCAGTGCACACAAGGTTCAGTGACTTATCCTTGTACCTGCCTGCCCAAGCAGATGGACTATGCAGGACCGCCTCTCCAGGGCTCTGGGATGGAGGCTGCTTCTTCCCTCTGTGTGGCTCATCTTAGGAGCCATCTTGAGTTTCAGTGTGCTTAGTAGTGACTGCCTTGCTTCAGATCTTTTCAGTTTTAAAATGCTCCACATTTTTGCTAGCATTGCCATAGATTGGAGTCTTCTGTAAACTTCCTGCCAGCTCACTGGAATTAGGAATGGAAACTCCTAACCCATTTCCTCAGTCTAGTTTCTTGAAGCAGAACCCTCTATGGTCCTGAGTGAGTCACCTGCACTTACCACCACCATCCTTTCTTGATTTTTCTCCACTGCACTGAAATCCAAATAAATATCCCCAAGCTGGACCCTGAGTTACACTAAAATTCCAGATTCCCCATGGGAGCTGACATCTGTAGAATACTGAATTCATATTTATCAGATGTTTAGTTATATTTCTCAGCAATGTCACTTTTCACACACACCCATCCAGTCCTTAGGTTCATATCCACATGCTTGATAAATGGATGTTATTATGAATGGGAGCTTCACTTTCCACTTACACCTAAACAGGCTGTTCTGAGTATTTTAACCTTCAATCTGCCATATTGCTGATTTAATATTTTAATTAGTTATCAGTTGACCACCTTTGTTGTCACATCTGTAAATATGTGTTCTTTCCTGGTTATACACCTACTTCTAACCTTTCCTAGTTATGTACCTACTTCTATTTCTTACCCTTTTTCAAATGGAAATCATTTTATAACAATAACAATGTTAAAATATGTTGTCAGTGTATCTGTACTATTTATAGTTCAATTATAAACTGACACTAAGCAAAGGTGATGTTGAACTATATTTGACGCCTATTTTATTTGATTAAGCTATGTATGTTGTTTTTACTTCCAGTTCACTAACACTAGAAATCTAAATCATTATCTTTTATTGGTACATTATAAATTTATCAAGAATTCTTTAATAGAAAAAAACACAAAATAAGGACAAAATAAAAATGGAGCTACAGAATGGGCTAAATAGGTGTGATAATCTGTGCAGGAGGTTGCTATTGTTAAAACACTGCACTTACACAACTTCTCACAACTCAAGGGTCACACAATGAACAAATATGTCTGCTCTTAAGCCACTACAGATGCATGTAACAGCAGTGAGAAAAAATATGTGAGATTCTATCACATTCAAAATGCAAAAATAAGTCACGTAAAGCTGTAGCAAAGTTACATCTCACTAACTGTGACGACAGAGAAGGTAGGAGGGAATGGAGACTCAATCATACAAACAGTTTTCAAAGGTGGAATATAGAGAACTATACAATCAGTACTCAATTAGGACACATATGTATAAAACAGAATAGCTCTGATGCTATGTGGTCCACTGAAAGACAAAGACAACTGGACAGTACCTGTTTTGTCTGTCAGTAAGTACACCAGGCGTCCAAGTTCCTCGGGTATCGTGCTGGTCCGAACAACTGTACCAGGAATATTCTCATCTTTCATAATCATCCATCCATATGCTGCTTTGCCCATGTCCAAGTTTACTCGCAGACTGCCAAGTAAAACCACCATGATGGTCAGTGCTTCCAGAGCTACACAGCATGTCCACACCCAATGCATTTACATACATACTTAAATTTATGTAGAAATAAATAACACTGGATTTCAGATTTTAAAATAAATGACTTGTGCATATTTAAGTAAACAAATGCTTTTATACTTTAGATAATGTTTCAGGTAATAGCTGAGAGGATAATTCCTTTCACATGAGTTACAGTATGAGCGACAAGAGAAGCCAGCAACTGGTTCTAAATATCCTATTAACACACAGAGCACTGTGGGTGTAAGGAGGGAAATACATATGCTCAGAGAAATCAAGCAAGGGTTACTTCTCAGAAAATATGTGAAATGGGTCTTGAGGCATCTGGAATGAGCAATTTGCTTCTCAGTGATTTTTAAAATATTACATTTTTTGTATTACATATTTTAAGTCTCTATATAATAGACTGTAATAGATGGTCTCTGGGAGTTTTCCAGGCTTTATTAAAGGATGGCTACATAAGAACACATCTTAGGAAATAGTCTCAGCACACCTACTATGTGCCAACTCAAACATGTTCATCTCTCCCTAATTAAACTGTGGAAACTCAGTAGACAAGACTGCGTAAACCATGGGGATGAAACTGCTATTCATCAACCATTTATGACCTATCAGCATGGTAATTCATATGGTTCAACCTATTAATACATTTTTGAAAAACAATATTCAGGAGGTAAATGCATAAGTTAAGAAGCATATATTCAGCAGAGCTTCATTAATCTATCTGTATGGTTCACACATTAAAAATCATCCGAATGACATGAACTGGAAGGAAAACCGTTCATTGGCATTACTTGTGCGTCTCTTTCCAGCCTGCACCTCTCATCTTTTGGCTATTTATATCCTTGTTAAAAGAGTGAAGCAAACTAATAGACGGCAACAGTCGTGAAGTGGGAAGGATTGTAACTGGCACTCTGGGAAGGCCCAGCGGCCCAGGGCAGGTCTACCACTGTGAGGGACATTTGTGTCAACGATGTGAAATCACAATGACTTCCAGGTAGGTTCAGGATGGAGGGGGTGTTTGAAGAAGAAATGCAGAAACATTTCCCCTTAGGTTGAGAATGATTTGGGCTTTAAAGCAGACTCTTTATGAACAAGAGAGATAAAGACCACAGCCCCTGCTGAAATAAGACAGGCAGACATTGGGAGAGAACTGAATGGGTGAGGTGAGCCAGTAGTGGAAGACACACCCAAAACACATAGGGGAGATCGGACAGCTGTCTATAATTATTCATAACTCTGATCACTTGGTTCAGGAACCTGCACACTGGAAAAGCACGGTCATCACTTTTGGAAAATGTCCCCCTGCACTGGCTGTTGTTTTCTGTTCTCAGCCTAGAGTCTATCACCAGGCTCAGGATGTCAAGAACCAAAGAAGCTCACCAAGATTCTTCTGTGCATTGTTCTTTTCAAACCATGAACAATTTATGTTGTTGAAGATTACCAAGAGTACAGCAGTACATAGAATATTGTAAGTAATTACTCCTGGACCATTTTAAGTTGAATACAAACACCCCTCAAAGAACATTCAGAACAGTAGCTGCTAGGAGCAGAGAGGAGAATGAATACCTTTTAGGGTATAAAAAGGTGTAAGGAGCATAGAACATAAAATCATCACCCAAAATGACTTAGTAAAATGTCTCAAATAAGGCAACATGTGGATTTCAGTTCCACATGTACCATGATTCATGCTGTGAATGTGTCAGGTGCTAAAGCAACAATTAACTCTTAGCACTAACCCTCTAAGGCACTCACACACTGTGGTAACTGAGTAACGACTGTCACTATACTGACTTTACTTAGTAATGCCCTGACTGTATAGACCTTTATCCAGGGAGGTGACAACTCTGTCATGCTCCATAATCTGTGAACCATATGATTACAAAAACATATTAGATGGCAGCCAATACCAGATGCATTGCAAATCCATTCTACTGCTGACTTAGCAGTCGTAACCCTGCTAGCCACAGACCTATTCCAGGTAGAAGGTAGCAATCTGTGTTCAAATGGTTCACTGAGCCAGGACACAATCACCACTTTTCCTCTCATACAGTATGAAAATACCTCAAATAAGTAGTCCTTCAGACCACTGCCAACAGAACATATATGAAAATGTTCATTTTTGCAATCATAGGAAATTTGAGGTGGATTTCAAGATGCCTTCATGACAGTTTATTTTTGTCCAAAGAGTCTAATCCTACAGCTACAAATACCTGAAGAAGAAACTCAGAGTCTAAATAAATTTCAAGTGCATTTTCCCCAAAATACACAATACAATTCCATTTAGGCCCCAGGATGCTTGCTATATTTAAGCTCTAATTTGTTACAATTAAGCCCCAGCACTGCCAGGTGAGCCCAGTCCCCAGCCCTCCTAAGAAACACACACAATTCTCCTTGGGGAACGAATCTACCTGAAATAATTCATGTGCTGATTTTAATCTGAACAAAAGAAAAGAGAAGCCATTTCATCAGAACTTTTACCAAATGTAATCAAAACCATTTCGTATGAGCCGAGGCTGAAAGAGACTGACGGTTATCTGAAATCTTTCCTGCATTTTTCATTCTGAGGATACACTGCAGACAGCATCAAACCCATGCACATAACACAGCAAACACTGTCATCTCAGGACCAGCTTAGTCCTTCCTGGGCTGCAGCAGCAGACAGCATCAAACCCATGCACCTAACACAGCAAACACTGTCATCTCAGGACCAGCTTAGTCCTTCCTGGGCTTTGGGTCAGCACTGCTGCCTGAGGGACTCTAACAGATGAATCAACATACCTGTGAGTGAAGAGGACAAGAGTCAGCAAGGCCACTTCCTCAGCTTCCTGCTCAAAGTGCTCCACCACTGAGCTACACCCACAGTCACTGGCTCTATCTCCAGTTTTAGTCAGGGTCTCTCTAAATGCCCTGGCTAGATTAGAATTTGTGTTATAGCTTAGGCAGGTCTTGAACTCTCTATCCTCCTGCCTCAGCCTCCTGAGTAGCTAAATTGTTAGAATTACAGCCCTATGCCACTAATCCCAGCTAAATGTGTAGTCCAAGTTTAGAATTTGAAATCCTGCATCACTGTTCGAAGCAATCTTCCTACTAGCAAACGCTAACACAGATCAACCTTTCTGCTTAATGTGTGTATTCTAATTAGCATGAACTTCTGCCAACTCATGGTCCTAAATTCTGGCAACTGTCTTCAACGCTCCAGGTGGAGGAAATCAGGCTAAAATGTTTGATGTACATTATAACTTGAATCAGTTTCTAATTTTAACATCCATTAGTTCTGTGATCTCTTACTAAAGGCAGACTTGATTCCAGTGGTCAATCAAGGTTTCAAATGAAAGTAGACCTTGGGTCAAGCAGGATGGTTCAGTGGGTAAAAGTCTTTGTAGTGCAACCCTGACAACTGAACTAGACTATAGAGCTATAGTAGCAAAAGCAGCTTGGTATTTGGCATAAAAACAGACAAGTGGACAAATGCAATCAAATTGGAGACCCTGACATGAATCCACACACCTATGAACACATAATTTTTGACAAAGAAGCTAAAATTATACAGTGGGGGGGGAAGCATCTACAACAAATGGTGCTGGCATAAATGGATGTTGATATGTAGAAGACTGCAGATAGAGCCATATACATCACCATGCACAAAACTCAAATCCAAATGGATCAAAGACCTTAACATAAATCCAGCTACACTGAACCTGATAGAAGAGAAAGTGGGAAATAACATTTGAACACATAGGCACAGGAGACCACTTCCTAATAGAACACCAGTAGCACAGATGCTGAGAGCAGCAATTAACAAATGGAACCTCCTGAAGCTGAGAAGCTTCTGTAAGGCAACGGACATGGCAAATAAGACAAAACCACAGCCTACAGAATGGGAAACCATCTTTACCAACTTCATATCTGACAGAGGGTTGATCTCCAAAATATATAAAGAGCTCAAGAAAATAGGCATCAAAACATCAAATAATCCAATTAAAAATGGGGTACAGATCTCAACAGAAGAAACTCAAATGACTAAAATACACCTAAGAAAATGCTAAAATAGAGGCAGGTGGATCTCCGTGAGTTCGAGACCAGCCTGGTCTACAAGTGCTAGTTCCAGGACAGCCTCCAAAGCCACAAAGAAACCCTGTCTTGAAACACCAAAATAAAAAAAATAAAAAAAAAAGAAAGAAAAAATGAAAATGCTAAAATAAATATCCTTAGCCATCAGGGAAATGCAAATCAAAAGGACCTTCCACCTGTTAGAATGGCAAAGATCAAAAGCTCTGGCGATGGCTTATGGTGGAGAGGAGGGTATGGATTGAGAGGGACACTCCTCCACTGCCATTCTCGGCATTTTGCTGAGAAGTCTCCCACATGTGCTGACTCGGTGACATAAGCAAAATGAAAGAGAAACTCTGTCTCCTGCCAACATCAAGCAGCCCTTGCAGTTCAGTGCTCCAAGAAAGACACTGCCTGCACAAGAGGTTCTAAGTGCGCCTCAGAAGGGATATAATTATCTCTTTGTCTACAGCACTTTTGCCTTTCTTGCTCATGGAAGCCTTATGCAGAAAAGCAAAAGTCTCTTTGACTCAGCACTGAGTAGTCAGGGTTTGAATTATCAATTAGAACATGGGGAATGTTAAACCATCTGGAGAGAACATACGTGGAACAGGGAAAACCTGACCCAAGATATCTCTCAGGTCCTACATGCGCTGCCATGCTGAGCAGTCCTGTTTCTTCATGTTAGGAGACCGGCACATATTGAAGGGGCATGTCCATTTTACAATCATAAAACAGAAGTTGTATCATGTAATACTTATCTTGGGATGACAGAAATGCTCTAATTAAATATGATCTCAAACCCCACAAAACAAACAAAAAAGATAGTGTAAATTTTATCAAGTAGCTTAAAATTATTCATTTTAAAATTATTTTAATACATTTATTTTTTAATAATGATATTAAAATCCTTAACTTTTATAAATTTTAAAGTTTTTTGATTCTTAGGACACAAAAAAAAGCCACTTTACTTCCTAGATTTGCATATTTTACAAAATAACATATATTTAAAAGGTCAAAAGCACATTTAAACTCTAAAATGAATGGTTATCCTAATTCTGTGGAAACTCAGCAACAGGAAAACAAGCTCGTTTTGATTAAAGATAAACTGCAATTCTCTAAATAAGCTGCCTGTGCTTTTGGCACTCTAGCTCTCATTCCTGCTGCTGCGTTGGTATGACTGCAGGTCTAGGTGTGCAGAACAAGGTAGTGTGCTGTGTTGCAGTGGGCATGCTTGTGGAAAGCTGAGGAGAGGTAAGGTTACATACAACACTGTCTACTTAGGCTATGCACACCTGGCTCAACATGCTAAACATGCTCACTGAAAAACCAGAGCATGAAAGAGTGTAGACAACATGGCGTTGTCATCATTTCTTTTAAAAGCAGAAACTAAAATAGGAGTATATGCTGGTACATGCATATTTGCATGTGCAAAGAAGCACTATGTACACATTCATATTAATATCTAACACGTGAAAGGGTAGGATGGATTGTGTGTGTGTGTGTGTATGTGTGTGATGCATGTGTGCTTGTGGGGTAAGGACCAACACTGAGTGTCTTCCTCTATTACTTTCTAGTCTTATTTTCAGAGACTGTGCTTCTCATTGAACATGGAATTTGTGGTTTTGGAAAGAAGGGCTGGCCAGTGAGACTGAGGGATCTTCCTTTCTCCACAGTCCAGTGCCATACCCAACTCAGTCCTCATGGTTAAGAAGCAAGCACTTAACCCGCTGGGTCATTTTCCCAGTTTTAAACACATAAAAGGTTTTATATAGTTATATGTAGTGATACTGTATTTATTTTCTTAGTAGATTATTTTTCATTTTCACTATAAATCCATGTAATTATTTAAATATAAAAACAACAGAAATCACTTTTAGTTCCAACAATCCTCCTAAGGCATAATTTTGTTAAAACAACTAGCTTTCTCTACTAAATGAATAAGAGAAATGGGGTAAGTACCTTTATGTTGTTATTTTCCTAACGATGGAGATAAAAGAAAACAGTCTGTAAATTACAGTCCAAATCCCACTAGAGGTGCTCCAGAACTGAGAATAAAAGCTCCTTTAGCCTTCCTTCCACTCAAACAGAAGTGTCTTGAATGGAACATGACAGCACATTACAGACAGATTGAAAAAAAAAAACAAAACAAAACAAAAAAACAACCCAAAGAAAGATCACAAGAAAGACAATCTTGAGAATCACCCCAAAAAGATGGGGAAACACCACATTGAACAGGGGAGAGCAGGTGCTCTGCACAACTGAGCATGAAGAAGACAGGCAGTGGGTAGTGCAAAACAGGCAGGCAGTAGCATCCTAGGCTTTCCCTTCCTCTGCTAGAACACTTCTTTGTCTTCTTTGGTGCTTGTCATCACCAGGGCACAGCTGGGTGGTCAGAAAGTGTCTTGGTTGGCTTTTTATTGCTGTGATTAAACACTGTTACCAAAAGCAACTTGAAGAAGAAAATGTTTATTCAGCTTACTTGTCCACATCACAATCCATCAATGAGAAAGTCAGGGCAGAAACTCAAGCAGGAACTTAGAGGTAGGCACTGCAGCAGAGTCCACAGACAAACACTGCTAACCAGCTCACTTAGCTTGTTTAATCATTCAAACCAGGACCCCAATTGAAGTTCCCCTTTCCTATGTGACCCTAGTTTGTGTCAAGTTGACAACAAAGTGACCAGCACAATGGGCAATAAGAAAAGAGGAAAGGACAGGAAGGGGCCAGAACATTGATTTCTTTGTGCATTTGTACTATCCAACTGAGCCTGCTGCATTGATTGCTGCCCTATGTCACATCCATAGCTGCTTCTCATTGTTTTAATTATAAATAGAAAAGGACATAAATAATAAAAATATTTTCAAATCTTATTTCAAACGTAATCACTAAGGATATCTGTAAATGTCACTGGCACTGCTCCAAGTCTACCCTTCTGTCTGTCCTGGATATGCAGGGTGACTCACTATTAGAACCTCCCACTCCCAGGATGCCATGGAGAAGAGCAGTTCAAGCCTCAGAGGTTGCCTGCAAGCCTTGAGTATGAATACAAACAGACAGATGCATAGAAGAGGCGGGCAAAATACAAGTAGAATGCCACTGTGTGTGCATTAGTTGGGACACATTTAACCATGAGACAGGTGGTGCTAGAATTCAAGTATTGCAAAGTCTTTGAATCATTTTAAAGAAAAGCAAAGATAGGGCTTTTTATATGTGCAGGGTAACACTTCTAGGGAAGCTACACAACAGAATACAAAGAATTACATGGATAGAAGGGGCTTTTTAAAAATTCAAAAGGGCACAAAAAATAGAGGTAGGACAAATAAAGTAAAAACAAGTGTTAAATGCAGACAAGTCATTTAACTGCACAAAGAGTAAAGATCACGAAGGACTGAAAAACAAAAATACCTAGCTACATACTACATCTAGAAATTTTTCATTTGATACAAAGGAAAAAAAAAAAACACAATTCTACGCCTGCCAACTTTTAATAGCATAGCCTAAAATACACAAATGAACCGTGGAAATTAATAAAAGTACAATCATGGTAAGAGATGTACTTAAAAAGTTAGGAGATTTCCTTTAACTGGAAGCCATCCATCTGTTGACATCTTTACAGTTCACTCTAGAGTTACAAATACTTCTAATCACACAGGGAACATTTGTAACTGACCACATCATGCAAACAGCAACACAAATTAATGTGATTAGAATCTGGAGGTAAGTGCAGAAGAAGCCCTAAGATGTTTTGCCATTAAGCTCAGATAAAAACAAATGTATAGTTTAACATAACTTAAGTGGTTATATCTCAAAGTGCCTACCAAGGAGTCTGGAAGTTGGTATCATTTTTCCTATAGAAAAAAGCCTGCCATTCTATTCCCTTAAAGTGGGTGCAGCTTTAGCCTCTGTCTGGGACCTGTGTAGCCTCGTCCAGGATTAGCTCTTCCTTCCAGAACTGGGCTCTATAGTATAGCTGGCCTAAGCCAGAGTTCCTGAGCAGTAACACACCCTTCTTTTTAACCTGAACAAGTGTGTTTTCTCTTTGGCTGATGTCTAGTTACAGTGGGTAACAATGTGCAATGGGAGATCCAAGTATACATAGAATGGAGGGGAAACAGACAGTGGGAAGAAGGACCCTAGGCAGGGTATGGCGGTGGACGGCGGAGGAGGAGGGGGGGGGGGGGGGGGGGGGGGGGGGGGGGGGGGGG